ATATATATATATATGGTTGGGTTCAAGTGAGAATGATGCTTAGTGAAGGAAATAAGAATGTATCGTAGCCATTGAATCTATGATCTAATGGCTAATAAAAATTCAAAACTTGACATTCATTAAGGGTAATACAGACATTTTACACATCATCATCTACCACCCTAAACATATATCATATTATATTATTATATGTAATTATATTAGTGGGCCCCCTCGCCATTTCCCAAACACGTACAACACATTTATAATTTTATACATATACACAGCACGCAAGCACGCATCTCGTCGCCGGCTCACCATCACCGCCGTCCATGGCCGCTGCTAGACTCGCCGCCTGTCACCATCGAACTGCCAGTGTCACCCCCGGTCCATCTCCGTCACGCCTTCCTCCCGCGGCCCATCACTCTAAGCAGCTCCGACCGGCCACCTTATACGCCGCCGTCTGGTCCAACGCCGGAGCTTTCATCGCCACCGTTCTCCCTTAATCGGCCACTGAATGTAAAGTCTCTGTCACCTTCCTCCGTCGCAGAGCCCAGCCGTCGGCAAGTGTTGAAGACACCTCCGACCGACCACCTTCACCATGGTGGTCGTCATTCCTCACCGTCGAGGTCGCCTTTCCTCCGTCGTCCACCATCGGAGAAGACGACCTGATATGGTCACTTACAGAGAAGACGAACCATTATTCATTGGATCGGCCCGAATCGGGTTTGCAATGTCCGATTAACCATCGAAACCAAAATTGAATAACTCAGTCACCGGCGAGATCTTGGCGGGACAGAGAACGGCCGGAAGGTTCTCCGGCGGCAAGTACAATGGATGAGGTGACAGGGATACCATTAACAGATATTGGAATTTTGGGGTTGTCTTTAAAAAATTTGATATCCTATAGAGGCTTGGTTGCAATATTAATAAATTTAAATTTATTACAATTAATTATTGGGTCAAATTTGTGATTTACTAGAAATATAATAAATGCACACTAGTTTCACTTAAAATAAGTAATGTGTATATGCACAAACTACAATAATAATAATATACCAAAAAATAATTTTTTTATTATAAATTATTAAATAAAATATTAATATTAATATATTTTCATAATATACACAACAATTCATTAAGAAGGTTTATATTAATTCAATTGATTGATCGAATGTCTACAAGTGCACATTATTGTTTTTCAACTAGCAGTAATATGACATATTAAATAACAAAATCACAAATATTAAATATAGTTTTTATAATATAAAAAATTTGATAAAAATGTAATACGTAAAATTTTAATATATAAAAAATACTATAATAACAAAATTACTTTTAAATAATAAATAATAAATTATTTTAATTATTTAGGTTAGTTTGGTGTACAATAATATCTACATAATCTAATTTAAAAAAGCACACACTTTATATGTGCTCGTATAAAATAGTGCACTTTATATATCAACTTGTTGCACTTTATAAAACAATACATTGCACTTTATAAAATAACACGTTGCACTTTATCAACACGCTTTACAATTAACGTCAATATCTCCCTCCAAAATATTATACAACATAAATCTAAGAAACAAATGTACATGATACTTTAATATCAACAACATCATTTATCCACACAAAACACAAGCATGATAACATACCAAAATTATAGTGTTTCACTTTATAAATCAACACGTTGCACTTTACAAAACAACACGATGCACTTTATCACGACTATCATATTGCATATTAGATATCGAAACCGCCGGACTAAAAATTCTTCAACCAAAAACATATGAAGATACTAAATAAGGTTGTTAATATATTTTATTTAATTTTAATATAAATAACTTGATTTCGGACAAAAAAATTTTGTTAGCGGCAATCGGAGAATATGAAAATTATTATTATTATTATTATTATTATTATTATTATTATTATTATTATTATTATTATTATTATTATTATTTTATTCTTATTATTAAATGATTGCACAATAATGACCAAACTTGACTGAACTAAATTTTTTCAGTTCACAAAATTAATTTTGATGATTGCACTGTATAGAAATATAAATTATTTTCAAATTTTTGTATTTCAGTTGGATTTACTTTTTTTACATTTAAAAACTCGATAATTTGGTTTGACGTTAATTTTTTTTTTTAAACCGAAATAACCAAACGAACTACGTAAAATATATAATTTCATTAATATTATTTTTGTATACATTGCGATTGCACAATAATGTTAGACGAATTGCACTTTAACGACTAATTAATTGCATAATATAGACCCAACTAAATTATTCAGTAGACATTTTGTTATTGAACTTTCAATCTACACATACACCAACACATTAATGTGCATTTAAGCATCATTATTGTCATTTAGTATTTTTTTTATGATTTTAGATTTACTTATTAGTGCATTAATTACTTTCCAATGAATTAAAAATTAACCTGAGCACTAAACCGCACTATAGTTATGTTTTCTTAATTTGCACATAAGTCCTTGGTACAAGTCAAATTCTCCATTAACGTCCTTGTCCCCCTCAACATTTAGCTTTGCCGTTCTCCACAATCTGTTGGCCATGGCCCATGGTAACATCCGCGACCTCCAGTAACGTTATAATAACATCGGATCGATCCCGGCGTCGTGACCGGAAGCCCAATCCATCGCCGATGAGATTGAAATTAACAATTAGGTAAATTTGGGATTTAGAGCTTCGAACTTATTGAATCTTTCGCCGTCGGATGAGAGGACAGGGAACTCGACGACACCTGGCTATAGCATGACAGAACGTCAGCCGAAACTCGACGGAAATTCGCCGTAGAGGATAAGCCGACGGAGGCTTTCTCTAACAAATATTTTGGAAACGATTGAGGGTGAGAGGGATAGAGATACAGATA